TCCTTCCTTCTCGCTCCCTTCCTTTTTCTTTCTTTCTCTTCCTCCCTCCCTCTCTTTCTTTTTCTTGATGACAGTGTGGTAAAATATATGGTAAGCTTCCTCAAGGTTTAAAACATCTAATTCCTATTTTAAAGCACACCCACACACCCCTCATTAAAAAAAAATACTTTAAAAATGAATTGAACATTTTTGGAACCACTGCCTTCAGTAATATCACTACCACCCCTATAGCCACTGAAGGGTAAACAACAAAACAGATATTTGGACTTACTGTGAAATTCTATTTTCTGAGTCTCACAGGGGGCATTTCACATTCAGGGTATCTTCTCCTGGAAAGAGTAGGCACGGTCCACAATTGCCTCTTCAGTGGAAGGAGCCATCCTGCCTCCAATAATCAGACTGGAAAAGCAAGACAGCCCCTCAACCCCGCTGTCAAATTCTTCTAAAAAAATTCTATCTCAAAAACATGACTACACAGGGAGTCTGAAGATATCTGGCAAAACTTAAGAAAGAGTAGATGGGCTCAAAGGAAAAAAAATCCAGGACAACCCCCAAATGTCTTATCTGTAGATGTACAACTATGGCAGAAACCTTCTCTCTCCACACTTTTCTTGAAGCTAATCTTGGAAGAACAATGGGGAGTCCAAATGCCCCCTGTGAAGCTTAAGACAGATATTTTGGAACCAAGGAAGCACTCCCTAAATGTCTCCAAAAGAAAAATTACCTTGGAAGGCAGCTATAGTTGCTGCTTTTCTAAGTATATAAGCAGTAATAACCACTGATGGCTATTTGTCCACGACTTAACAAGGACGGACTATGCATGCAGTTAATTGCCTAGAAAAAACAGACGTGGAAATCTTAGTGTTCCCTGACGTTCCTGGTAAAATTATAAACATTGGTTCAGATTTCCTAAACTCTGGTGCCCTATCTAAACAGGATTCAATGTATATATAGCCTATAACAACCACATTCTTGGAAATAGGATAATTGAGAAGAGTGAAATTCAGCTTTGGCATGAAAGAAAGGTTAGGAAGCAGGACAACTTTAGCCATGTGGAAAATACCCCACTCCCCACAAACAATTCAAACACTTTCTGGCTGGAAACACAGTTTTAAATGACTTAACTGAACAAGTTGCCAAGGACTCAATGGGAGAATTCATGACAGTCACCGTTGAGACTCCACAGAGAAAACCTGTGAACTAGGGAAGCTTTCAGAAGGAACACCCTACACAGGACCTACCTAAAATGTGGGTGAGATACAAACTATCCTGTGTATTTGCTCTTTATACAGTACTTAATGTCTCTGCTTGACACCTAATTGAAGTGGAGGCCCTTACAAGTTTCTGCCTGCAAAAGCAGCACAATCTAGCAACATTCTACTTTTAAATCACAGGCTTATCTCTGTTAGTTATCCTCTTTGCTAAGCACTTTCTGAAGGGTTTCTGTAACCTATGTCCTCCAAGAATCATACAGCCACTTCTGTGGAGTATTTCTGTAGTCTTGAACATGTTAATAGACAAAGTCTTCTAAACTGCTATCAAACTTTGTTTATTGATGCACTGGTAGCTGTTATTTAGTTTAGGTGGGCAAGTAAAGTAGATGCAGACTGTGCAAGTCTATTTTTGAAATTTCATGGGGAAAAAGGCCAGAAGCAGAAGCTGCCTTTTACATACTGTTTTACCCACATCTTTACCACCACATAACTGAGTTTTTCTTTTCCTACTAAATACGCCAAGATTTCTGCCTTTCTACTTAGATCAAATTGTTCTTTCTATCACAACTTTTTCTTTTATGCTATTCAGGTTATAAGAACAATTCTCTGACTTCTTCACAAAGGACAGCATGGTAGCTGACTAATACCATTCACTTATTTCATCAAACAATCTATCATTACTATGAGGATTTCTACTGGTTTTGGTTACAAAGGAGTTCATGCAAAGAGTTCTGATATGTCAGATTAGGAAAGCAATACAATCACAACCATCAACATTTATCTGTTACTACTGACTAGACCTCTGAGTTCAAGCTAATAAATCATATGCAAAAACAATATTCTCATGTAACACATCTGTCCCTGCCAGAAAGTGTAGCTTGTTATTCATCCATATGTGTAATATACATTAGACCACAAAGAAGGAAGACAAACCACAAAAGAGTGGTAACCTGTGCATTCACATAAGAAACCCACAACCCTGCACACATTTTTATTTCTCTAACTGTAGAAACTGGCAACTCTACTGGTTTTAGAAAACTGAATGTTTTAGAAAACTGAACTGTAGAAGCTACATCCTTGGGCATGTGGATGGAGCTTTCAGCCTCAAAATGTTTCAATTCTACAACCTTCTGAATGAAAATCTATTCAGGAATAAACTTGAATATCTAGATGCACTTACGATTTCTGAACAATTCACAGTCAATAAACAACAACAACCAGAATTGGATTGGTTGAACCAGTTTGATCTAACTAGGAGACACTATTACCCTACTTTAGAGAGATGAGGGGGACCAAGGCTTGGCAGTGCTGCTCCTTTGGAATGGCCTCCCAGAAAACTGCTGCCCAGAAGCTGCTCAAAACCGCTCTTATGGAGGGCATTTTGACCCTGATTCCATCTTGGGTTTGTTTATAGTTTGCTTAATTTACATTTATTCTGTTTTCATTAATTTGTAAACATTTTATTTGTACATATTTATGTACTGTATATTGCTTCTTGTGTATTTTTCTTGTAAACTCCCAAGAGTCCTTAGGATTTGGTGGTCTATAAATGTAATAAACAAACAATCCAGTTCTTTTGAATCACTTTTCAAGGGGATATTTAGGTTAAACAGGGAATTTTCAAAGCAACACGAGAATGGAAAAGCCATAGACAGCAAATCAAGTGCTTTTGATAGAGCACAGAAATTAATATTATACATATGTTCAAATGAGAAGTTAGAATTTAATGAAATATCTGAGCTTTTCTCTCCTGAAATTCTAAGAAACCCTATCATCCTTATATTATGATATTCATCTGGAATAATCCTGCACAAAAAGCAAATAGCACAGAAAAATCATTCACAGAAACACACGTAAGACTTCATACAGCCAGGTTCTAGTAGCATGTTATCACATTAATGTGTAAGCAAGAACTTGTTACAGGTATGTAACATGAAAAAATTCCAACCTAACAGGTAAGTAGATGACTATGGTTCAGTTCCCAGTCTATACACTGTAAAAGATGATACAGTTGTATTTGCTCATAAATACAGCTATCACTGAACCTATATCATAAGGATATAAATGGACATAAAGTTCCATTCATAAGAAAGAAAAAATACTCTAGAAGTTCCACAAAAGAAAATACACTGTACTTTTAGAAAGCTTACACAAACTAATTTTCAGAGACTTAGTCAAAAGGTACTGTGATTGCTGGGGATACAGTTCTAAGGAAAACTTCCAAGGGCACATTTTTCCATTTCCAATGCATCTAATCAAAATGATAATTCTTCCACAAGAGGATTGTTAACTACTGAGGGAATATGTGTGTGTAAAATATGGAAAACCACACAGAAGGGGAATACAGTTCAGGCAGAGTATGGCTGAATGATCAGTGGAGTGAATGAAAGCACTTCATGGAGCAACTTTTTCTTGCAGGTCTCAGATAGACATGATATATGTGCTTGCCAGCAACGGTTCAGCAGATTTTTTTCCTCCCTTAGAGACGACTTTTTTTTTCCATTTCAAAACTCTACTTCAACAGGAAAACAGCCTCACAGCAGCCTTCCCCAAGCTAGACAAGTTGGATTAAAACTATTGCTGCAACCATTGAGTGATGCTTCCTAGGAATTGTAAGGGTTGTAATTCAACACAGCTCTAGTTTGAGGGAGGCTGATTTACAGTAATCACACATTGTGTAAGTAGAGAATGACAATCAGACTGAAAGAGGCAACAGCAAGGTTAGATACAAATCTAAAAAGATTTAAGCAAACTCTGAAACAAGTCAAATTTTTCATCATTTCATGGGAATTACTTGATTTACTATTTTGTTTCAACTTAATTCCCAGATCCTCAAATTAAATTAAATCACCTTAAATGCTATTATATCAACCAGATAAAAGTAGCTAAAGACCCAGGATAATAGCTGTTTCCATGTTTCTTTGGCTCAGGATGACACATATAATTTTCTGCAAATAGTTTCAGTTGCACTGCAAAGACCACTAACTTTCTTTTCCTTTTTCATACAGAAACTTAGCAACTTACCTACAGGACTTGTGGAAACTCTCTGAGAAGGAGGCCGGAATCCTGGAGCCTTTGAGTTATCAGGATGTACACTTTCCATGTGCCCCAATACAGAGTTACTCAAGAAAGTAGATTGGACAGTGAAAGATTGATCTGCCGCTGCTCGTGTCGACAGTGAGCAGTCTCCCCATCCTTGGTTAGCCGGCATCTGGTTACTATCAAAAAGACTGCTAAAGTGATTAAAGAGCGTTGCTGGCCCAAAGGTAGGAGGCAAGGATTTGTTTGCTGGATTAATATGCATCTGAGAAGCATTCATAATGTTCATGGGTGACGACAAGTGAACGGTAGTAGATGGACCTTGAGAAGGTGTTAACGGTACGGCATTTGTAACAAAAACAGATTGGGTTTCTTGATGGAGATTTGCATTTGGTACCATTGAATAAAAAGAACCTCTAGGCTGCATTCTGTGAGAAACACGTGGTGCTGGTACAGCTAACTGAGGTAAGTTACCATTGTCCTGATTTTCCGAAGCAACCGATCTAGGCGATGATAAACTTAATGGAGTGGATTCTGAACTTGAAGAAAAAGGCATAGCTATAGGAGGACTTAAGTCAGACATATTAGCTGGCAGTGTTTCATTCGGGACATTATCTGGAGGTGCAGGACTGCTGGATGTGCATGAGTCTAGGACTCCTGAACTGCTGCAAGATGTGATACTGCTGCTAGCAGCAACTGATGACGGCACACATGCAATGCTAACAGATTGTTCTGGCGCTGATGCCTTTTCTTTGGGTACTGAGACAGGAGGAATAGCATCTGTTTTAAGTGCAGATTGCTGTGCCTGTGGAACATTAGAGAGTAGAAATGTAGTGGGAACATGCCCGGTATTTTCATGTGCAGGAGAAGGTGAAGGCAGTGTGCTACATGTTGTTGTCACAGTTGAGATTGCTGTTGTCATGGTACTTGTTTTAGGAATGCAAGCAAACAGCTGCTTCCTGACTGATGATGGAGTCCGATTATTTGTCATACAAAGTGGCTGAGAGGATGGAACTGCTGAAGAGACACTACCAGGACTGCTAGAAGCTAAACCTGTAGTTTCAGACTGTAAAATACTACCATTCTGGTTACCTATGCGATTTGAACTGTTATGCTTTGGAGAGCTATTTGTGCTGCCTGGATTAACTGGCCTCACTGGGAATGGTCCCCAAGTATTTGGAGAGGTTGAAAATGTTCCTCCAAACTGAGCCATAGGTAAACGAGGGTGTCGAATTTGTTGCATAGTTTGAGCAGCCAATAAAGCAAAGTGAGGATGGGAATAAGCTAAAGGTAGAGAGACTGGAAAAGATGAGCGCACATTTGCTGGGACACTTTTGCTTAATTTGTTAGCAGACTGGAAAGTAGATAGTGTTGATGACTGAGAGGTGACAAGAGATGAAGCTCCAAGAGAAAATGAGTTTTTGTTTGAAGCTGAAGCAGCACTGACGCCAGATGAAAAATTGGTATGGATTGATTTAGTGCTGGAAACAGGTGTTCTTATATGAGTTTTAGGAATTAAATCTTCCAGTTCCTTAGCAGGATCTTGAATAAGGGCATTAATAAGTTGTACTGCATATCTTGTTGATTCTGTTCCACCCCTGAAACAGAGAAAGTTATGTCATTTGTAGAACACGACTTAAGTTGTTCAGTGCAACTTAATCCACTTGAAAAACAAATCAAGATCTTATGAACTCTACCTTATGGTGATCATTCTCTCTCCATTTTTATCTTTTTGCTTGTCCACGTCAATGTGAGCACCCGTGACATCCTGAATTGCTGTGATATTGCACCCACCTCTTCCCATTATTCGAGATACAACTGATGCTGGAACAGACAGCTTTTTTGACCTAAATATTAAAGGTTGCAAATATGATGGTTGACAGGCTTTATTTTTAAGAGATTTAAATAAATTCTGCATTATAGATAAATGCACAATTAGGGGGAGGGGAGACTGGAAGATCTGTTAAACATCTCAATCTTACACAACAAAACTTGAAGCATTGCTCTTTTCCCCCCCTTAATAGTTAGTATCAAAGGTGTTTCTATAGGCTGTTCAGGGGAAGTGAATTTTCAGTTAATTTGAGGTTTTTTTAGGTGACTGTTACTAAAGTTAACTCACACTTAAGTTACTGAACTTTACAAAAGTAGCTCATCTCACTTCTCTTCTTCTGTCCCCTAGCCAGGATCTTTACAGCTAATGATCAAATTCCATACTTACCGTAATTTTAAACCAAATTTAAATAGTGATGTACCACATAATTTGGAACTCTGAAAGCCTTACAGCTGTGAAATACCTACATAATATTACTGCTTTTCTATATGGTTATGTGGGACAAGAACAATGATCAGGGGATCGGTAACCAAGGAAGCTGCAAAAATACAACTGAAGAGGAATTTGATAGCACTCTTCAAGTAAGAGAATGCCACAGCTTGATCCTTAATGCCCCAGGACTTAAGTCAAGAAATATTTCTAAGTTATATATTTTGACTGAATGCTAGGTAAACTTTCTAGTGATAAGAGCAAATCCAAAATGGAACTAGTTATCTAGAGAGGTGGCAGACTCCTAGTTGTTGGATGTGTTCAGGATAGACAGGGAAGAGGCAGGGTAGATTTTTGTCAGGGATGGTTTAGCCTACATTCTGATGTTGATGTTGGTTAGACTTTATGGCTTAAATGGCCCTTGTGATTCAAGAATTCTAAAAGATTTTCAGAGACTAGTTGTGCCTCTGCATTCCAGACCAAGATTTTTCTTATTCTCTGAAGTTTCTGACAGGTTTACTACCAAACTGGAAACACAAATTTTGAAATTGCAAATCACAGTAGATATATTTCAGTGAATTATTTGCACAATTACAATGCTGTAAGCCACTTAGATTACCTATTTTTTCCATGCCTCAGCCAGCAACAAGAATTCTTAAACCTTACTCTCAAAACTAAAACATATTCATATTACTTTCACTCATTTAAAAATTATATTTTGCTCTGATCATTTACTCATTTCAGTTTTTTAAGAATATGATATTTTTCTCAATCATTCAAAGTTTCCATCAGCTATAAAAGTTAAAATGCCCAACTGCTCCTCATAGGGATTCCAAATTCTTACTCTCCTTAATTTTCATACAGTGACTTATCAGTCCCTTCACAATCCCCACTGCAATAATTACTATGGCTCTAAACAGCATCAAGATTTCAGTCATAACTTTATATTTAAGTATTCTTAACTCTCCGTTCACCCCAATATACAATTTTAACTTGAGTGCACCCCAGTATACCTTTTTGCTCCTGAACAACAGCGTCCTCCTCTTTGCAACTGAAATTGCTCAACTGGTGTTGACTGTAGAGTGTTGCTAGGAGATGTGTCTTTCAAAACTCTGCCCACTTGCCTGTCAAGTAATAAAAAATGCAGTTTCATAGGCAAGAAAGAAAAAAAGCTACAGGTTTTAATCCCAAAACCCAGATACAGGCCTGAAAGCTGGCTGGGTGACTTTGGGCCAGTCATTCTCTCAGCCCAACAAACCTCACAAGGTGGTTGTTGTGGGGAAAACAGGAGGCAGGAGTATTACGTATATTCACTGCCTTGAGTTCACTAAATTAACAACAACAGAAAAGGGCATGATAAAGTAATAGTAATAATAATAATAAGAGATCCAAGCCTCCCATTTTTAAGAACTAAAAAAAGAGTTCATAGCATTCTTAGGCTAATTACTGGGAAAATAGTATGCCAACAGAAAAATAGCAAGTAGTTCCACACATTCTCTAGTTATATGCTAATTTAAGAATAAATCATGTTTACAGTAACTACTGTACAAAAAGCTGCAACATAAATCTGACAAACCCAGCATATGAAGCATGAAATTAATAAATCTGACTTAAATTAAAACGAGCACCTTGAATTGCACCCAGGAGCACACTGAAGGCCAATGCAACTCACTGAACAGAACTGTAACATGCATGTACCAAAGTGCACTCATAACTGCCCATGCAACGGTATTCTGAAACACCTGCAGCTTCCAGATATTCTTCAAGAGAAGACCCATGCATTGCTGTAATCCACTCAAGGCTGCTGAGAGGTCAAGGAGAGCAAAGATGGATGCACCACCCCTGTTCTGCTCCTGCCAGGGGTCATCCTAAGTGATCAATACCCAGGCCTGAAACCAGACTGAAAAGGGTCCAGATAACTCACTCATGCTACCTCCTAGGAATCTCTGGCTAGCCAGAAGGGACATTGGTCCAATATAGAGGTGACTGAGCTTACAGTTCCAAGTATATGTTCTATGTTTACCCACTAGCAGGAGAAACTGAGCTAATATGCAACCAACATGAAATAACACACTCCCGCAAGACTTGCATTTCATGAAGCTGAAAACATACCTTCTCACTACTTCTTTCCATCCTTCTTCTCTCTTTTGGCCTCTTTTTGGACTAGTCAGATTCAACTTTATATTTGGAGATGTCAGAGGCAAGGATACAGATTTATAATTTGTTGTTAGGCTTGAATTAGCGTCTCCTTCAACTCTAAACATAAAGATAATGTAATAATTAACTGTAACTAAGCTTTAGAAAAGGTCTGTTTACACACAATAAAACTGCTTACCTCTACCTTTCCTTCTTCAAGTGATCATTTGTGCAATTACACACAGAGATTACTTCTCCCGTGAAGAGCTCTATTGTGGAATATTCTAAAGCTGAGATTTTTCTACCACCAAGGGCACATGCAGGAAGGGCTCTTTCTACCTACTATGTAGTTACTAACTGGCACAGTAGCCCTAGTAATGACAAATCAATCAGCAAAGAACCTGTGGTGAAGTAGGATGGAGGACTGGATGTTTGCCCAGATGACCATTAAAAAAAGTTTCAATTAAGCAGCCTCTTTTCCTCTGTTCTGCCTATATACGACATTTATGGTTACCTAGAAAGTTTATCTGCTGTAGGGAGAACAGGAACTCTCAGACAGCACTGCAGTAAGTACTGACTGACCAAAAGAGACATGACAAATGACACAGACTTTGAGGCACTAACATGGAGTCAGGCTATGATGAAATGGCTGTTTTGCACAAACCACAAGTTAAAAAAACCCTCAATTTCAACAACATTCTCACCAAATATCTGCTAAATGAAGCTGCAAGATGCAGTGTTATTAATGAGTACTATATGCAATCACCAATATTACTCTTTTTAAAATTTACTGATGGGAAGTGAGAAAGCAATAGCAAAGATATTCATGGAGATGGAAATTCAATGTGATTTGCACAAAAGCATTCAGATAGAACATGAATGACTGCTGCACATCCAAATTTTGAAGATATTTCTCTAAAAGAATGGAAAGTTGAGGAAAGAACACCAAACATCATAACCTATCCTGGATGAAAAGTAAAAATCTTAAAGAAGAAAAGAAAATATGATTTAGAGGTACATTAGAGGTATCAAATCAATTATAACAATCAGGAGTACAAAAATCACTGATATACTAAGCAGAAATGACTGCTCTCAAAAATTAGACTTTTGACAGTGAAAATTTTACTAGATTAAGTAGCCATCAATTCAAATTGCCTAGGCATCAACTGAATCAATATAACAGAAAGATTACAGCGACACTGGTTAATATGCCAGAGGATTAATACTGAGCAAATCACTAAAGCATTTCTAAACAATGTGATATATCAAAATCATTATCAAATATATCCCATGGGGAAAGACTGTAAGATACCTCTAAAAACTGTAATATAACATTGCAGCTTTACATCCCTCCCTCAAAATTTTGCAGAAGGCCATGCTTGCAAGGTTTTCAGTAAAGCTTGTTTTGTGGAAATTCAGTGTTGGCTGAAAAATAACATCTTTGGAGGGATTTTGAAATATCTAAAAGAAAAAAAAAATTCTGCCAAGCAATTGTCTGCTAAGAGTTCAATAGTCCCTTTGTGCAGGAGGCATAGGATAGTCTCATGAGAATAGAAGGTGATGTGCTTTCACATAATAACAGAAGAAGAGTTAGTCTTTCAAAACTGGCATCAAGTTGAAGAGGAAGAGGCAAGAATCAGATTGCCAAAGTGTCATTTTGCTACTGTATATGAGCTATAAAATCTCAGGCCGCCATTACATGGAAATAAATTTAAGAGCTTTCCATACATCTTTGCTGCCATTCAGTGAGTGTTTGGATTTCTGCAGCCCAGATATGGTAGCCTGAGCATTTATATATTTAAGATGAAGAGCATGAAGGAATCTAGATTTCATAAAGACTGCATACTGTCATAGATATTGATGGAATAAAGAATGGTTCCCCCCAGATTCTTTAGCAACATCTAATAGAGCTTTTAAAATGGGCATAAGCATTCAATAGCTCTGAAATTGTAGAAAGCGTAGCACAGTGGTTGAATACCACAGGAAAATATGAAAGAAATCAGAATCTTAAGTAATCAAGTATCCCATCACCAAATAAGTGATGAGATCTGTGATCAAAATTGATTTTTATTATATCATATTCTGGCTTTTCATTACAAATGTATTTCAGACAGGAATGCAAGAAATTTAACTGTAAATACATTTTTATGTCAGGCAACATCTGTAAAACAAAGTAAAACAAAGGTTAAGTGTAGATTTAAAAAAAAAATCATATCAAAAGCTATTAGTGCTGTGGTTCCTGGACTTCTGGAGGAAAAAATGGTGGACTGAAGACAGCTCCGCAAAAAGAGGAGCCAATGACCATGGCGAAGAGCCGGTGAATAGACTGGCTCTTCAAATCTCTCTGGGCAAAGAGAGGATGGGAGATTGCCCGCAAGTGCTCCAGATAATTGCTCCTCATGAGGAGACTACAAGAGAATGGTCTCTGGTGGGTTCAGAGCTCTGGGAGATGAGGGAATACCCATCTTGCTCAAACTGCTGTCAGTGCCTTTGAAAGGACACTGGGCTCGCATAATTTTCTAATCACATTAGAAATTGCTTATTAACTACTTTTCAGCTATTAGAAACCTTTGGATCGACAAGTCTGAAACACCAGGTGAGTCTGTTTTCAATCCTTAATGAAAGAAACTTTTAACTACAAGCTTAAAAACTTAAAAAAATTGAAATTAACAGCAAAAAGCTAATTAAGACTTTGATTTTAAAAAGTTATAAATGAATTAAGGGTCCAGATAAATTTGAAATAAGTTTTTGGAATTATTTATAAAGAATCCTTTCCGTGGGAAAGTTGACTTGTTTTGAATTTCTTCTAAGACATAAAAGAGATAAACAATTTTTAAAATTGGACACTAAAGGGAACTAATGATTTTAATTAAAGGAGAAGAATACATAAACCTGATTAACAGCTACAGAATGACACAAAAT